CACCTACCTACACACGCACCTACACACACACACACACACGCACGTACGCACGCACGCACTCCCTGCCTGACACCCTCTTATCTCCGACCGCGCGCCGTTGTCATCCCAGGAGCTGGTTTCGCTGCCGCCGCCAATGGCGTTCCCCTCCCTGGAGGTCGCTGATGCAGAGGCTGTTGGGGTGGAGCTCAACCGGCTGCAAAACGTGGTGGTCACGCTTGACAAGGTGGGGGCGACAACCAACAGAATGAATTGTTTGAAAGGAACAAAGTCCGCCCCTCCCCTGCTTTGCTTTCCGGACTGAGTCATCGCCCCACACCTGACGGCCCCTGTCATCGGTTCCCTCGCATCTTCCGATTGCCGGCCCATCAAACCTCCGCCCTCTACAACGCATTTCTCGCACGCACCCGCGCGCACACGCCAATCCACACCCTTCACCCCGTTGTTTCTGTTTCAAAGGTCAAGCTGTGCCTGAGCAAGCAGGGCCCCGGCGCGCGCGACCCGGTGCTGCAGCTGATGACGTCACAGGAGGTGGCCGACCACCTGTGGGACGGGGACCGCAGCGTCGCACGCAGGGCCATAGTGGGGGCCGCGGCGCAGCTGGCCAGCCCAGAGGTGACCTTGATGATTTGAAATTGCAATGCTTTCCAAACCCTGAAACCGCACATGAAATTGCGAGGCTGGTGTGTCGATGCGTGGACGGATTGGAGCGGCGGCGGACCGGCTTTGTGCAGCGCTCGCGACGAGCGCCGCCGCGCGCCGCGCGGCTACTGGGGCGGGGGCGCGGCTCGCTTCGGCGGCCGGGCACGCGCAGATGCACCTGCCGCCCATGCGGACTGCGCCCGCGTCATCTCCCCGAGTCGAGCAAAATTCTGTGCTTAGCGCACCCTGCCGCCACGAACCTCGCCCGCTGCTCTCATGTGAACGCCCTCCCCTCCCTCCACCCAACCCGCGTGCGCCGCAGGTGGCCCGGCTGGCGCAGCGCTGGCAGCTGAAGCGCGCGGCCAAGGCGGCCGAGGCGGAGGGGGAGGCGGGGGCGGACTACCTCGGACTGCTGAAGTTGGCGCGGCAGGCCGCGGGCGGCGCCGACGAGGCGCGCAAGGTGTGACGGCTGCGGCTGCCGCTGCTGCGCGCGCGCGTCCTACGTCGGCGCCGTCCCCGCCAGGGCGCTCGCCCCTCGCACCCTCCAAAAGCAACCCCTGTGCTTGCCGGCCCGCGTGGCCATCGCTGCCCCCTATGACTTTGACTCAGCCGTCCCAGACTGCAACTTCCGCCGCCATCCTGACGGCCACCCCGAGGCAACCTCGACCACCCCCCAACCGCCACCCCCTAACCGCCACCCCAACCGCCACCGACCCAGCTGATCCTGGACCTGGAGTCCCGCCTGAGGGCCTTTGACGTGGCGGGCAGGGGGCGCCACACCAGCATGGCCGACATCCTGCACCTGCACGGCCGCACACAGGTGGGGTGGCGCTTTCGGGGGGTGTGGGGGATGCTTTGGTGGGGCGGTGCTTGGGTGGGGCGGCGGCGCAGCTTGGTGGCCCTGTGGACGGCTTGGGGATGGTGGAAGCAGCCACGCTCGCTTTTCTGTGGTGTGGCCGCCTGCAAAGTTGGAGGTCAGCCGGTGGCCTGCTCGCGTGCCCGAGTGCTGCAGGTCCGGGCTCAGTTTACGGCGCTGCTCCTGCGCACCCTGCACACCCCTTGCCCATCCCCGCCTCCCCT